AGAAAAATAGCACAGATACTGCGGGTGTTGAGTAAATAAAATGATCGCTCTATTGACGGCATGTTTGTTTTTGCAATCCTTGTGCGCGCGCTGAATTGTGTCAGCAAAAGCGCGCATGAAAACTGTGTTCGGCCACCTTAAGCTAACCCAGGATTAGCGGGAATTTTGATTTCAGTTTTGTAACTTTTTGGTGAGGTTTTCTGTAAACTTATATTGTTCATGTTTTTGTTTTAAATACAAAACACATATTTAATACTTCTGTAAGCTTTGAATCCTGGGTTAGCATTAACCAGATTTCAAACAACCTGGCGTGGCAAGAGATTTGGAGACCTGTAGTGGAGACCAGGAGATTCAGTCTGTATCTGGGAGACTCCTAGCCACTCCCAGGTGTTCAATTAGTTGGGACGCAGCACGAAAAACGGCATGCAAAGAATTAAAAAAAGTGTGGTGAGAGGAAGCGAAAGAACGCCTGTGTGCAAACTTAACAAAAGGTTGCTCCGGTACACCAGGATCTGGTGTACCCTCTGATTTGTCAATTATGACAGATTTTCAATTTGTCAACACTCAAGCACTACTGACAGAGATGACGCAGTGTTCAAATCTACGATAAACAACACGCTAAAAGATTTTCCCCAAGTGGAGTGCCTTCATGAAGAACAGAAGGATTGCATAAAAAATATAGTCAATGGAAGATGTCTTTGCCTTCCCACTGGTTTTGGAAAGAGTTTAATCTTTCAACTCTTTCCATGAGTAATGTCTTCGATGAATGGAACAGACGGCGCTCTCTCCACGATCATTCTGGTTTGTCTAGCTCTCGTAGCCACAATGAAAGACCAAGTTGAACAGTTGAACAAAATAGGAGTTGCAGCAATGGTAGTAGGTATTGAGGAAGAAGCCGTAAAGAACCGAAAAGTGCGAGATTGTGTGTGAATACAGTTCATGACATCTGTACATTTGTCATTCTGTTTTTGGTATCTAGACCTTTTGCTTCGCAGAGTTTGACACCTAGCTGTGATTTGCCATGCTGTGTTTATACTATTGTTTAGGCTCATTTCTATTGCAAGATATGTTTTAGTCTCTAAGTATTGGGTCCCTGTGGGTGGTCTATAAGTAGGTGGAAGAACCTTTTGTTAAGTTTGCCCACAGGCATTTTTTCGCTTCATCTCATTGCGCTTTTCTAATTTTTTCGTGCGCTGTTTTTGTGCTGTGCTCCAACTAACTGAACACCTGGAAAATGCTAGGAGACTCCCAGATAATCTAGGAGAGTTGGCATAGAAGCAATTTTGATGCAAGTATTGAAGCTCTAACAGTATCGTATTTAATTGTTCTATAGAACAACTGAAAAAATGCTGGATTAAACTGTTGTCAGCCATCTTACTTTTGCCAGTGTTTGGGCATGAACTTTGAGAAAACTCTTGTGGCAGCTTGTGCTGAAAATTCCACACTGTTTGATTCCAGATTTAAGAAATTTGTTCTGTTTCACTTCTCAAAGAATAAATTGTGTTGCATTAGTAGGTAACAGTACAAAAAATACCTTTTGCTCCACACCCTCTCCCTCAGCTTTCTCTCCTTCTGACCCTGTCTCTTCAGTTGTTCCCTGGATTTGCGAGGGGCTGGGTGTGTGCTGCAATTGTTCCTCTAGATAGTTGAGCAGAGTGGCTACCGAGTTTGCTGCAAGGACGTGCATGGTATTTACTATCAGGTAGTCAGCAAGCCGGATAAAGCTGTGAATAAAAATAATTCATAAGCACAACTCCTTAAATGATGATAATTATAGTCGACTCTCAATAATTGGAACCCTCGCAAACTCAAACGTCACGCTAACTCGTACCAAAGTCGATTTCCCNTCAAATAACAGCATACCAAGTTTCATTGGAAATCTATGGCGGGTTCTTTTACTAGGGAATCACCTTAAGGTTATAAAATGAGTCAGAAAAGTTATCCAGAATCAACACCAATCTACCATTTACCATTAGCTACTATTACAGCTATTTAGCTGTCTGGCTGGGAACAGTTTCATGTAGTTCTAATAAACAAAGCCGCTGATAGACTGTTAAAACCAAACCTTGATAAATGTAATGTTAGCTTGATATCACATTTCCTAAGGGGAAACAAATTTTATTTTTCTTTTGGCTGTACATTATAACCAAGCACACTTGTTAGATTAACCTTATCAACACTGCTAAGAGTCCACTGAGTGCTGCTACTTCCAGGGTTAGGGTTAGAGTTTAGGGTGAATAACTAACTAAACCCTAAACGTTAGATGATGAAAACAACTGTGAATGAAGTCAACAGTGATAAAACAAAGGTACTAGACGAATTTATTTTCCATGGTGTTTCGCTTGTTTGTTTTACTACTGAACTCGATGAGTTAATTGATTCACAGTTGATGTACATGTAAGCTTATCATTAAAACTACAGCTGTATACATGTATGCAAACGAAAATTGCATCTGTGTTTTTATGTTTTAGTTTGTTACTCTGCAGTACTTGTAGTTCACTTCTGAAAATTACTAAAAGGCTCAGTGAACATTGGTGAATATTCACCTAGACTTAGTCTCAGTAAATTTTCACCAATCTTCACTTCACCTTCAGCAAATATCATTGTTAATTATTGTAAGATTACCTTGTGAGTCTTTTGCAATGACTTCTCTTATTGGCCTGTTCAGTATATGTCATCTTGTCTGGTGCATCACCATACATATCCATCTCATATCCACTTGGCATTAAATAAGAAGACATTGACTGTGCAGGACCCCCATATTCATCTGTCAAAAACACATGTATGACATGTTGGCAGAATAAAAGCAAGCAGAGATAACTTATTCTTGCTTTGGCATCAAACATGCATCAAACTTCATGGCAATAATGAACAATGGCTCCACCTTTTGGCTGTTGGCAACCCGTCAGCCAACTGTCGGCTGGCATGTTACCAACACATTACCAACAGTCGGCCTACAGTATTAGGTAGGCCAAAAATTGATCCAAAACACTTACAAGTGAAAACAGTAAAGAGACATACTTGACCGTACTGTTTTTTACTGTTCTATTTATTATGTGATCCAGTTTAAACAGCAAAATAGGGTGTTTAATCCATCTCCAGACCATTGGCTGGCAGTTGGCTGATATTCAGTCACCTGTCAGCCAACGGTCGGCTGTTAGGTGACAACTGGCTGACAGACGACCGACAATATCTTTTGGGAACTTTTCTTCACTTTTACCAACTTCGTAATATGGAATTCACATTTTAGTCAAATTTCATTTAGCTAATAGCTATTTAATTTTTGATTAAATACCAACTCTCTATGATTGTTGGTGCTATAATGACAAACATACCTGCATACATGCCCATGGGACTGTCCATATCCATAAAGTAATCATCAGGGGTAAACCCTGCCTCTAGTAACGCTGTCCGACATGCACTTCTTACAACTTCTTTTACAAGGTCACGGAACTCTGCCAGTCTTCCAGCAACCTGCAGGTAGAAATCAAAGAATTCATGATACTTCTCAAATATAAAGGGATAGAACATTCCCATTACACCTGATTGCCTGCCGCTGCTGCTGAACTGTCTCAAAAAGGCATATGAATGCACAAAAGGGATCTATAAAGAAATGATAACCAACCATTGCAGGTTACCAATTTTCCACAGGAAGCTTTTGATTAATTCTCTCATCATTTTTATTGTGTCAGCTGCAGTGAGTAAATTAAATAATCATAGGGAAAATTTCTTGCATTTTCTGTCAGTAGAGCCTATACTGTATTAAGACTGCAGGGTAATTGTTAATTTGGTAAATAAGACATGAATACAAAAAACTTCACAATATACTTGCACATCAGCAAGTCACAAATTAATGACAACCTAGAGTACATACTTCCTCCAGCTGTTCAAATTGAGCATTGCGGAACTCATCCAAAGTGTAAGTGTGTCCCTTCTCCACCCTGCACAGTCCCATGTCACTAATGCGGTAACACATTTCACGAACATTTAAAAGGGCTGGGCGCAGTGACTACAGAAGGAATAAGAATTTTTTTAGCATGTATGTAGTAATTACGTGCATCTACATTCTCACTCTCTGAATACAAAGTAAAACATTTGAGAAATTGATGTACTGGAACAGTTACTGTAAAATATTGAATAATACTTACTGCATTAACAATGAAAAGATTTTCCTGCAGCTGGTTTTTGCATTGAGTCACCTTTCTGTAATTTTAAAATATCATATAATAATAATTATCATTAATAAACTATTTTACTCAAAGTGTGATCAATATTCCTTATTATATTCTATAATACTCAAATGTTTGTCAAACACTTAAATGTGAGTGAGTGAGTGAGCGAGTGAGTGAGAACTTTATTAAAGTGTCAAAAACCTTATAGCCTGGAAATAATACACCATATTAATTAGGGGACACTGCTAAAAAACTATGCTAATACTAATATTAATACAATAAAAAATAAATGACTTGAAGGGCATTATGTGCAGCATAGGATGCAGCCCTTACAGCCGGTGTCCATTAAGGGCCCATTAACTGATCTTTTTGAGCCATTGCTAGGGAAAATTTAGTCTCATATAACCTCATCATTTTTAGTTAGTTCAGAGTTATTTCATGTGTTTTAACTTTNGGTGTTGAGTAAATAAAATGATCGCTCTATTGACGGCATGTTTGTTTTTGCAATCCTTGTACGCATGCGGAATTGCATCAGCAAAAGTGTGCGCGAAAACTGTGTTCAGCCATCTTAAGTTGTGCGTATAACTGCGAGGATCAATGATATCTTTATATCTTTCTCCACAGTTCAGATATATGATCTTCCATATATTCACTTGCATACATATTACTATATTATATACTACACTATGCTCTTACTTTGTCTTTACATTCTTTCTCCACACAACAAAGGCCTTCCACATCCTGAAGTTAGCAAATGTTGGAATTTTGACAAGTCTTTTGTAGTCTGTGTACTCCTTCTCCCACCTTTCAAGGGCAGTAAACTCTGCTTCATTGTCACGTATGTGAGTAACTCCTTCAGAACTTATTGTGTAGTAATCAGAATGGTTGATTTCTGAATGCCTAACAATCCTGTTTTAGTTGAATATAAAATGTTCGTTAATGCACAACAATATCAATAAATATGACTCATACCAATGAAAAATAGCAAAGAATAAATATCAAATTATCTGCTAACTATAAATTACAATCATGTAATTTCACTCTAGATGTACAATGATTGAGATAATTTTAGTATCGATTTAATTTACATTATTTATACATTTAATTTACATTTAATTTACATTATTTAACTATTCAAATGTGATCTTTACCTAATTTATCCTCATTTACAATTAATATCAATGGAAAATAACTTACTTGAGGTTGTACGGATTGTATTCAATGGATGACCGATCCACAGCTGGTGTCATGTAAAGAAACCCCAGTTTAGAATTCTCCTTAATCAAGCTGATGATCTGAAGTGGGTCTCTTAAACCCTCAGGTATAACATCTGTCTCCCCCACCAGTGTACCAGTGCCATTACTGAGTGAAGTCTGCTTTGGTGATGTGTGCCTCTGTACACTTTTAGCATTAACTTGTGCAACAGAATCAATTTTTTCTTGTTTGGTTTTCAAGTCATCTGGTAGGTTTGGCAATGGAGACGATGTCCTTTCAAGGGGCTCCACAACATCTCTTCGACAGGTCTTTTTCCTATCTGGTTCAGACGAAAGAGGTGGTGTTGGGGATTTCGGCTTTCCCGCTGTAGATGTGTAAGGAAGACTTCTTTGCTTTTCTTGATACCTGGCAAGGTTTGGCTTTAAGACAAGAAGAAAAAGACACACGTTTCCTTCTGTTCCACCATTACACTTAATTGTCTACATTTACGTGTACCTGTGAAGTGCTATGAATGTATGTCACAAGCAGACACAAGCATCAAATCTTTTTTTTAGACACTGTCGCACTGTCATAGTACTTAGTGTATATGATGGACTTAGAGACATCAATTGTGACCTTAATTAATTTACACACCTTACCAAATACAATAATAAGGTGGTTTCTGCTGAACATTCAAGCAATAATGGCAAAAACTAGGTTACCAAAAAAACCTCATAGTATGATAACATTTTTAATACAGTCAAGAACTTTTTGAGATTTAAGCTCTCAAGCTGACCCTGTGATAGAAAATTGAATTTAAAGTCATCCATATTAAACTAAAACAGACTTTTCACATCAGTTCAAAACAAAATGACACACACTTTAAACATTTTTGGGAAGTTTGACATTAACTTCTCGAGAAATTATGCTTGAAAATTTAACCGCAGGGTCACTTAGAGAAATGAATTAAAGTAAGATGTTTAAAATAGTACTCAAAATGAAACTGTGATACAAGTAGATTTTTAGTAAATAATTTTTGCAAATATTGCTCGAACTTTGAGTGGAATCCTTCATAACATCAATTCTAATTCAATTGGAATACTTACCAGAGGCTCTAGTCTAGGTGCTGATGGTATGTTCTGAGAAATAACGAGGAATAAATTATATAAGACAGCCAATACCATTATGAAAGTATACAGAGATGGCAACATGAAAACTTAAAATCTGGGAGATTGCCAATTTTACCTTGTTCTTGACCTAAAAAAATTTGTTAATACATGTATACTTTAAGCCCTTTCCTTTGTATCAGGAAATTTGGCAAATGTTCAGGAGACTGTATGATTTGGTCTGTATTTGGAAGACTCCCAGATAATCTTGGAGGGTTTGAATAGATGGTTTTCACTGGTGGTAAGGGAATAGTTAACACATCCAGGTACATTGTTGAGATATCACACAAAACATGTTAAAATATATGTGTTCAAAAAGCAGTCTTGAATTTTCTTTAAAACACACCAGTGTTTATGTAACTAACGTACCCTACAGAGCGAGTTCAAGTTTTCAATGATAGTCTGTTAAAGTGCATATGACATGAAAAATATTTTGTGCTTATTTGAAAGGCCTTTCAAAATACAGAAGAATGGCATTTTTCTTTTTGAAATATCTTTTTTCGTTT